TAGTAGCACTTTAAATACGTGAATATTTTAACGCATAGACGTGACTAAGGCTGAGCAAAGTTTAAACTGTCAATGTATTGTACTATTTTCTTGTCTTTTATCCTAAAGGAATGGAATAGATGCTGGCAGGCTGGAATCATATTGGAAGCACATATGTGAACAAGAGGATAATAGTAAGAAGAGGAATAACAGTCTAATGGAAGATTTTGAAAGAATTGAGCAGGAAGTGTCATTGTTAGATACCAAGACTCAAAAGTTGAAAGACCTACGGGTGAGATATTATTAGTTAATGCAAAGAACTTTCTTTAAGGTAAACCACTGTCTCACTTGTAGTTTTCTTGTAATATTTATTAACTGAGAGGAAAGCAAGTTCCATTGTTGTGATGAAATTACAGCAACAGTTTCAAAACAATGCATTGTATCAACATGTAGTGTACAGTTCGCTTTAGTATAGTAGAGTGAAGTCATTTAACCTCTGAAATAGATATTAGACACTTGAGTAGACCCTAATTTGACTATAATTACACATTGACTAGTATTTTTCTTATTTCACAGGTTAAGTGCCTTCACTCTCCGCACCGGGTGGCTATACCAACACACATACATGTAGTGTTTAAGTCATCTCTTATTCAATTTCAAATTAACGACACCCATGTCATTCCAAGTATTTAATTGCTAGTCATTATCACTTCCCACTTATGATAAAAGCCACTTGTGTGCAATTATATTGACATTATTGCTTAGTATATAGTCACCCTAAACATATTCTCCCAGGTAATATTGTTTATTGGACATTTTGTTCAGCTTTTTTTGATTCCAAAAAACTGAATTTCCCCCAAAAAAATAATTTCATAATTTATGATGAACATTTTATTGTACTCAGATAAATAAAATAATACTATAATAATAATGTTTTTCTAGGATCAATATAACAGTTACATTAATAAAATGTACCCAAGATGGCTTGACGAGCTGAAACACCACAGGCATCTGATGCAACAAGAAAGAAATAGTCTCCAATACCAGGTATTATACTACTTAAGGCTTCATTCAGGACCATAACAATTTTTAAAATTTAGACACCAGTTACAAATATTATTGAAGCAGTTTAAAAAAATTTGAAATGGTTTGAAAATTTTGAACCCAGGTGAAATTTAAGCCACAACATTTATTTATTTGGATTAAGGCTTCAAGGAATCAAGTCAAAAGACCTGAAGGGCCAACTCAATTACCAGACCATGTAGAGCCAAGAGAGTTGGGCAGGGGGATAGGACCAGGTGTAAGGGGATCAAACCATGTGAGGTTTATCTCCCCAGAACAGCCATCTCTATACCAGCAAGACTCATCTCTATATGACAGCCAGCAAACAAGGTCCCAGGACCAGACCAGCTACTATGATCAGACCTCTACCCAAGGTTATAYAGACTCCACAAGATATAAAACCATGGACTGGGATCCCTACCACRGGGACCCCAGTTTTGATTATTATCATTTTGGACAATTGTCTTCTTTGAGGAACCCACATGGTCACATGAATCAACAACCTGCAAATGTCTTGAGGTTTTCTACACCATATTTTCCTGGTCATAGCGGTCCTTTAGATCCAAGGAATGGCTTTAATCAGTCATTTGATATGTCATACTTGAATCGTGGGTACGAGAGGGGACCACACCCAAGACATCCTAATGGTGGGTCACCAATGATGTACCAGTCACCTGGTAAATTACTCTACGATGAGAATATGAGACCAGCAATGCCAGGACAAGGTACAATATGATGCCGTCAGTTATGTGGTAGTCAAATAGCAAATATTTCTGTCAGTAGATGTCAGAGTAACCATTCTGTGGAAATGCCACTGTTAAATCCTATTTATTTTGTCATTTCCTTATTTTTATGGCAAAATGGGCAGGATTTGCATGTTTATCTAAGATAGTACTTAATTGATGGGTTGGAAGCATTCCCAAGAGAGTGAAAACAAAAGAACATGGCGGCCATCTTGGTGTGGTTACTACTCTTCACAGTAGACCGAGGTAGTTGTGATTTTTTAATCGCCATCGTAGCGTCTGTTATGTTATCCGCAAGTACATTTCAAATCGACCACGTGATGCCAATGCTGTACCACGAGGACAAGTTTTTTACACCACGTGATTAAAATTTGACTGAATTTTGATCACATGGTGTAAAAAACTTGTCCTCGTGGTACAACATTGGCATCACGTGGTCGATTTGAAATGTACTTGCAGATAACATATAAGATGCTATGAAGGCTATTAAAAAATCACAACTACCTCGGTCTACTGGGAAGAGTAGTAACAATGGATGCTAATGAGAAATCTTTTGTTAAATGGTACCAACATGGCTGTGATGACCTAATGTAAAATTGAAAAATAGGTGGGCATAATGTTTATAAACATTGCCATTGTGCTGTTAATGTGCCTCCATTTTAACAATAGGTGTTGTCAATTTGCTTCATGATAATCAACCAAAACAAATCTTGTTATCATATGTCCACCTATAGCAAATATAAGTTTTGTAGGTGTGGGTCAGATGAGAATCATTGAGAATTATCAAAAATGTTATTCTATTTTCTGTTATTCTTAGGTGCTCCACTCAACCCAGAAGCTGGGGTGTCTTATTCTATGAGCTATGATGAAGGAGATGGTCCAGTTAGACAACCAACTCAACAGCAAAGGTCACCCAGTGACAGAGAACAAAACACGGTACATATATATATTTAGCAATCAGTCGTCAAGCCCAAATGGGTTATAAGAGTGAAAGGACTAAATTGTTTTAGTCAAATCCAACTAATCTAGTTTATGGGTAGCATGGATGGGGTACACTGCTAACGCATCATGTTTCACTAGTTGGATTTGACTAATATGTAATATCTTGGGCTCGTAATAAAATGTAAAATAAATTAGATTTTGAGAAAATGCATGAATAGGTGTCAGTAAGTTGTCCATAGATGGTCGATATTGTGTAGTTCCAGAAAATATTCAAACCCACAAAGAGGAAATTTGTAAAAGGACCCCCATCCCCCCAGGAACTTCCAATATTCTTCAATACAAACTCTGCAATTTTGTTCTTTCTCTAACCCCCTCCCCTCCAGAATTTCCAATTTCCTCAGTATTTTCTGGAACTTGATACATTAGTGATTTATAGGTGGTTGGTAGATGATTGGTAGATGGTCAGTAGATGTTGGTAAGTGGTTGGCAAGTAGTTGATGAGGTGTCAGTTGTATAACAGTAAAATGTATATTGGATAGTGGTTGGTAATGTAACAGTTGTAAGGTGTGAGTAAGTGGTTGATAACATAATGGTAAGATGTTGGTACTGCAAGCCAACCACTTACAGTATGTGCATTGTACGATGCGGCTTGGTCACAATTGTCAGCTGAAACTTCTATTCAATGGGGTTGAAACACAAGTTCCATTACTACTTGACTGTAAATACAAATGAACAATTTTGGTCATGTTCTTTATTTTATTCCCAGTCGCTAGCACAGTCAGAGTGTAATAGAAGCATTCATTCACCATCCACTTCCCCATATGCAAGAGATCCTCCTGAGAAGCCTCTGGAACTAACAGCTAACAAAAAACCTGTCAAACCTGTACCTTCTGAAAAAGAGAGACCACTTCAGGACCATCAACTAGCATCCAGTGATGAATATACAAGTCCTTCCCCTCTTGATCTAAATGATCTACGACCTGTTAGTGATAGTTCTGCTCAAGCCAATGGACAGACAGACAGAGGGCTTTTGGATGTATCTAGGAATGAGGGAGATGTAGAAGATAATGAAGATGATCAGCTTGATCTTAGTGAGGGATCTTTGAGTCTTAGCTTGGGGCATACTAGTGGTAGTGATATAAGTCTACCAGATGAAGGGGAAACAAAACATATCAAAACACAGGAAACCACCACTGAGGATATGACAGCGAAACCCTCACTGACTGACAAGCCAGGAGGCTTAATACACAAGGCACATGGTAAAGATGAGATGAAAAGGCCTTCCAACAATGACAAGCTACAAGAATCTGTACCACAGGAATTTCACGAGGAGAGGAAGACTAAAACACAGGGAGCCCAAAATGATGTAACAAGAAAACCTTCACTTACTGGCAACCTTGAACATATATCAAAGGGAGCCCATGATGTTAAATCTGAGAAAGATTCTAGTAAGAACATTTCTAGCAAAGATGAGGATGATTCTACAGACAGCATTAATACTGACCAGAATACCAAAGTATCAGACAAGGAGGCGTTAGAAGTAAAACAAACAATCGAACATCAAGAAGGCCAAGACAAGGCAGACACTTTTCCTGCTGAGAGCATTCCTAAAGGTAATACAGCTCCATTAATTGACACTGTAAACAAGAAGCCGTCAGTTACCATACAGGTGCTGTTGGCCCTGCTAAAAGTGGTAGACGCTGATATTGAGGTGTCATTTAGTCCAGAGACAATATACCGCGCACCTCCATGTAGCCAGGCAATGAAGGAAGATATTATAAGGTATGAGGGCTATTGGTCAAACACCATTATCATCTTTATGTTTGTTGCAGTGAATGCTTAGAGCGAGCAACATCACATACACTCAATTGAAGAATCGTTGTTGGGTTCAGAAACATTGAACATAAAAGCTGAGACTGAAATGGCACATGGGAAATGACATAATTATATTATAATTTATTTATTTGTGCCATCCATGCAGTCGGTTTAGAATGCCAAACGCGTATTAAAAACAGTGGATGATGCCACGGGTCACCGGTCACAGCATGCATCTAATTAACGTACTTCCCATTTGCCATTTCGGTCTCAGCTTCTATGTTCTATGTTTCTGAACCCGACAACGATTCTTCAATTGAGTGTATGTTAACAGAATGAAAAATATTATTCATTGTACGGATTATAATAAATGATACTTTAGTATTTATTGCCTCACATTTGAAGTTCATTCTACTAAAGACCCAGGAGACCCTCAATCATGAAACAAGTTACAGTAATTAGTATCTTTATCTTATATGCTTTGTTGTAGGTCTGCAGAGAGTGATGACAATACACTTGATGCATATGACCCTAGTTCTATTAGTATGATAGTATTAGAAGAGCTACCACTACTAATCTGGTCGTCTCCTTCTGGCTGCCTCATCCAAGATCAAGTATTGTTATCTGGAGAAAGATATTTAACACCAAAACAATTGAGGTGAGTAAGAAATTATTTTTAGAGCATATTTCCTTTGACCGAAGAAATTTGAAGGGGATCAACATCCGTTTTATGAAACCATAAAATGACCTTTGGGCTGATCTAAGTCAGGGTGCAGCTGACTCTGAACACATGTTTCTATGTTTCTATTCAATCATTACTGGTAAACAAAGAAACAACACTCAAGGGAATGACACATGGTCAGATCTAAGTCAGGGTGCATTAGACACGCACGTGTTTCTATGTTTCTATTCAATCGATACTGGTAAACAAAGAAACAGCACTTAAGGGAATGACACATGGTCTGATCTAAGTCAGGGTGCATTAGACACGCACGTGTTTCTATGTTTCTATTCAATCGTTACTGGTAAACATAGAAACAACACTTAAGGGAATGACAACTGGTCTGAAATGGGTAAACATTACGCTTATCTGGATAGGACAATGTTTTTATCCCTCCACTTTGTGTTTACAGAGCGATTATTGAACCCACCTTAGTACCTCTCTGGGACGGCCTATTGCCTCACATGACCAAACTGGTTGAACAAAATGTACTAGCAGTAGATGAAGCGGTCAATCTCTTTGCTAACCTACTACTAAAACAAGATTCCAAATGTCGTCAAAAAGTAAGCTTCCAAATATTTTATATTAATTGAAATATAGTATTCTAGTAGATCTGATTTTATTTAATGATATATATAATGGAGGGGGGCAGCTATAAGGGTATATAACAATGACCTGGTTAAAGTACAGAACTATAGAACTATTGCTCAGCCGCAAGTGTGTCAGAGCTCAATTTATATCATAACTTCGATTATCATAGATTTTTGCCCGTTTACCTAAAGACAAGTTGCCAATTTTTTGTGTACTCATTCCTTATCTGTTTGAAAATATACGCGTTGCACTTTGCAGCAAAAGTCTGAAATGAAAAATTCAAAACTTCACTGGTTTATTAACTTGTTATTGCCAGGGCGTGAAATTCCACGAGGAATAACCTCACTAAGGACATAAGGCCAAGGACATAATTGCAGTCGTTTTTTGTGCGTTTATTAAAACATCACATATTTACAAGTTGTTTACTACAGCAGAAGCGATTAAATATCACATTGGCTATATTTCGATATTTATTCCATGCAGCAGGCTATATTAACATTTATCGATTGATCAACCTTCAAATGTTTGTATTGATTTGAATCTAGATTATTTTTTCTAGCGTATCTCTTTTTCCACTTTCCTCACCAACGTCGTGGTCAATGTACCACTTCATTCGCATTCTGAATTTTGTCCTTTTTTCTCTTAATGTAATAATTGATTACATTAATGGTTCTTCTATTCTAGAATAGCTAACTAATGGCAAACTCCATTGTAGTATAGCTGTCCGAACTGTTTTACTTCCGGCCTTGTTTATCTGATGACGTACGCCACGTGATCCTAAGTTTTCCCGCCTTTCTGGTTGTTGTGGTGTTCAGTGGAAAATGTCTTTAGGAACTTGGATTTTTAGGCAAARGGTTTTTCATTATGTTTTTCCCGCCTTACTGGTTGTTGTTGTGTTCAGTAGAAAATGTGTTTAGGAACTGGGATTATTAGGCAAAGGGTTTTTTAGTGCGTATGTGTGTTTGGAAGGGAAGAAAACCACTGTCCTTTTTTCTAAACGTGTTTACACCAGTTTATGCCAGAAATACCCAGGAAAACAGTTAGTGCTAGTTATCTATAAATATCTGCCACAGCAATACATGCAAATATTCACCGAGTCTTTTCAAGGCTCGGTGTTTGGATCAGTCTCAGTTTTACTGAATATGTATCGTTATTTTTTCTCTCTGTGTCGTGATGGTTATCGGTTGCGTTTTTTGATGTACTTGAACTCGTCATCCATGTCCTCGAACATATTCTCGAGCCACGTTTTCTGCTGTTGTCGCAAGAATTCCCACGGTGGAATGAGGTGAACGATATCCAGAAGATCTTTCATGTTGCGTACTCTGTACAAGTGTGCATCTGTGGAGCTCGCCAAGCCCACTATCTCTGCTATCCCCTTAAGGTATTTCCCAATTGCAATCACAAAGATCTCTATCCCCATATTCTTGAGTCGAAAAGCGTTGTATAAAGTCTTTGGTTTCTCGATATTTGATTGTCCGTCTGTCACAATGAGAATTCGTTTGTAGCTTAACCTTCGATATCCACTTTCTCTTTTGAAAAAGAGTTCTGTGCGGCACTTGTCGAGAGCTTCCTGTGTGTTGGTCCTGCCAGGAATGTACACGGTTTTTCCCAGGTTTTTCATGGCTTGTATAGGGTACGTAAAGTTGTATGTTATGTTTGCGGTCGTGGAGAAGGTAATGCCTGCGTAGAGGGTGTCGTTTTTCGCTCGAGTTATAAGAGTCTGCAAAGCAAGGAGCGCGTTTTTGAACTCTTTTGAACCGACAGAACCAGAAGAATCCAACACAAAAACCACGTCATAGAAAACGCCTTCACTCGAGGATCTTTTGGTCAGTCTTTGGGGAGCTCGATTCAGGAAGTATTTCATTAACTTCCTGGCTGTTACTTGCTTTTTGGGGATATACTGGTATCCTACATACAAAATAAGAAAAAAAGAATTACATGACAATTAAATGTAATGTATGAAATGTTTGTTGACACTATTGCCTTCACCACCCATTATCATCACTATCATTATCATCACTATCATTATCATCACTATCATTATCATCACTATCTTTATCATCACTATCATTATCATCACTATC